TTAGTTTTGAATGCTCCAATTGGACCATGTGGGCAGATCTGAGAGAATTAAAAGCTATTTTTAATTCCTTCAGCTAGCTCTGAAGTATATGCAACACAAGATGTTTGTTAACGCAGAAGAACTGTATGTATTTGAGTGGTATAAAGCATATAATAAAATAGCATATAGTTTATGACATTACAAATGATATAACACAAAATTTTGGAATCTGAAAGAATCTGCACTAACATGTTAAAATTGATTTAATATAGAATAAAAGGTGATAGAACATTTGAAAAATACTACTTAGACATGCTTTATGATTTTACTACAATTTACAGTAATTTTTTTAACATGGTGGCAGCTACTATGGATTGTCATTAATATCGCATACAAATAAAATTTTGCAAATAATAAAAAAATGGCTGCAACCATACATCAACAGAGAACTTCCAGAGGTTCAAGTCAGATTCAGAGAAGACAAGGTGCGAGGGACATCATTGCTAACGTCAGATGAATCTTGGCTGAAAGCAGAGAATACCAGAAGGCTGTTTAGCTGTGCTTTATTGACTAAAAGGCTTTCAACTGTGGATCATGACAAGGTATGGACATAATTGCAGAGAATGAGTATTCCAGAACACTTCATAGTATTCATGAGGGATCTGTACACGGATCAAGAGGCAGCTGTTTGAACAGAACAAGGGAACACAGAATGGTTTAAAATTAGGAAGTTGTGTACCAGGGTTGTATTCTTTCAACATTCTTATTCAAAAATACTTAATGATGACGATCAAAGACCACAGCCTTCAGTATGGATTGCATCTCAACGGTAAAGAAAACAAATATCCTCACCACCAGACCAATAAATAACATCCATATAAATGGAGAAAAGACTGAAGTTGTCGAAGACTTCATTTTGCTCAGATCAACTATCAACACTCATGGAAGCAGCAGTCAAGAAATCAAATGATGTATTACATTGGGCCAATCTGCTGCACAAGACCTCTTTAAAGTACTGAAGAGCAAAGATGTCACTTTGTGTACTAAGGTACACCTGACCTAAGCCACGGTATTTTTTAATAACCTCATATGCATATGAAAGTTGGACAGTGAATAAGGAAGACTGTAGAAGAACTGATGCACTTTAGCTATGGTGTTGGAGAATATTTAAAGTACCAAAGACCGCCAACAAACTAATCAGTGTTGGAAAAAATACAGCCAGAATGCTCCTTAGAAGCCAGGATGGCCAGACATCATCTCTCATACTTCGGATGTGTTATCAAGGCGGACCAGTCCTCATAGAATATTCTTTGGTAAAGTGGAGGTTAGGAGAAAGAGAAGGTTAGGAGAAAGACAGGAAGACCCCTCCACAAGATGGATCAGTACAGTGGCAGCAGCAATGGATTCAAATATAGCAATGATTATGAGGATGGCGCAGTACAGGGCAGTTTTGTTCTGTTGTGCCTAAGGTTGCTGAGTGGGTACCGACTTGATGGCACCTAACACCACCAAAACCTAGCTGCCACTCTTGCTTCTTCCCAAACAGAACTCTGTCTTGCTCACAACCAGGGGATGATCTGGTCTACCCCATTCCTCTTTTCCAAAGATGGGTACATGGCCTATCTCTGTCAGAGACTCAGGAGCAAGTCCAAGGATACAACATTGAGGACAAAAGAGCAGATGAATCCAAAACAATTTTAGCTGCCATTCAATTCTGGAACCATCTGCCTCCAGGTTTCTGGTTATATGAGATAATTAAACATTTTTATTATTTAAGCCAAGATCAGTCTGTTTTCTGTTTCTTGGGGTGATTATATCCTGATAAAATCACTTATCTGGCTGACACTGAAAAAATACTTTACATTCACTCTAATTTAAAAGCAACCCAGTCAAAAAGTTACTATTAGCTCTTTTTTAACAGAAAAAAAAAACTAATATAACTCAGTTTAGAGGATGAGTATTTTTTCCTAAGTTATCAGTGGAGCTGGATTTAAACCCAACACCAGTTGACCCTAAAGCCCAACGCTTTATTAATTGTGTAGTTATAAATAACACCAAAATGAACAAGTCTACTGTTCTCTTCTTTTTATCTTAACAAAATACATATACGCAGATGCAGGTAGTAATAAATTTGCATCTACTGGCATTCATATAGAAATGTAGCTTTAAGCCTTTTCTGAAATTTGCATATAGTTGTTGATAGAAATGTTTCAGAGGCTCAGCCAAAAAAGCAGATGCCTCGTCTTTTCTTTCACACTTTTATTGATGTCTACAAATCAGTGCATCAGGGATACAGACGGGTCACAAGAACTTGGATACAGTCGTAAGGTTGAATTCCCAAGGTACTCTCAAATGAAATGGTAAATATGAAAGTGGTACACTCTTCCTCTATCTTTTTAGGAAGAATCAAAGAACTAAAGACCAAACACCTAATGAGACAGATTTTTTATTTAGTTCAAGAAAGCAGAAGAATATCTCTGAATCAAAGAAAATAGAATAAGAATTACAGTGGAAAATCACTGAGCAGTGTATTTATTAGTTATTTAAAGGTGACTGTATTAGGATCCAGAGAAGAAAAAGCAATTGGATAATCAAAACTTATGCTTACAACCAAGAGGACTTCCATGAGTTCTTTTTTCCAAGGAACTCTTTCTACTCCAGTCCTTTATATTTAGGAAAGGCCAGAACAACACTATGCAAAAGGGTAAAGATGATCTTTCAGCTACAGCCAAAGAAAAGGGCCATGGAAGGACTAAATAGTCAACCCCACTTGTTATGGGTTGATTTGTGTCCTACAAGAAGAGAGGTTCAAGTCCTAACTCCTGTTAACTGTGAGCGTGACCTTAATTGAAAATAGCATTTTTGCAAATGTAATTAGTTAACATGTAATTAGGCACACTGTATTAGGGTGGGCTTTGAAAAAAAAAAAAAAAATCACTGGTATCCATATAAGAAACACACTGACTGAGACAAAAAGGGACTAACAACCATGTGACAAGAGAAAGAGACTGGAGCAATGCACCTACAAGTCAAGGAACTCCAAGGACTGCCAACAACCAAGATAGACGAGAGCTATGGGACAGAGCCTTCCAGAGGAATCAAAGTCGCCAACAACTTGCATTGGGGGTGTTAGTTTCTGGAGCTGTGAGAATAAATTTCAGTTATTTTAAGCCACTCAGTTTGTGGTACTGTGACGGTGGCCCTAGGAACTGATATACCCCTCATCACTGCTATCTAAGCAGCTTGAGAAGCTCAGTGTTCACCAGCACCACAGAGGAACAGAAAAGAAGTGAGACTATAACAAGACATAGCCCAAACCTCTGGGGCCATCTAAAAGGTGTGAGGAGGCAGTTCTTATCGGGTTTGTGTGACTTTACCCTCATTTAAGAGGCAGTTTGGTAAGATCGTAGTAAAGGGTGGTTGTGATATCAGCTTCTAACAACCACTTACCACTGCTGCATGAAACTTTTCTGTGACCTACAAAATGTCTCACCAACTGAATGAGGGAGAAATCCAGCTGAGGAGGAAAAGAGGAAAAAGCAGTTGTTCTTCAATGACTAGATTTGGTTAAGGGAACTGATCACAGATGCGTAAGTTAAGACTAGTGTTACTGGCTGGAATTGGGACCCACGCTGGGTTAAGTGGACCCAGTGATGGCTCTCAAATTCACAGCAGGTAGGCCTCTCCAATTCAAAGATCGCTGTCAAGTGTCAAAGAAGCCATTCATTAATCAATCTTTAATTTTCTTTATCAAGGATTGTTTTCTTTAGCAGTACTGTGACTTTTCATCAAATATTTGACTTAGTGTTAATTCTTTGAGTGGTCAGGGCTTTGTCTTTGAAAAATATTAAAATGTAAGCTACAAGAGTACTATTTATGCTGGGGATAATGAGTTTGGAACCACTATGTCATCTAAAAGCATTAAGAGGGTGCTAGGTGTCAACTCTAAAGTTTTCACTGGCAGCGTAGTGGATTACGAGCTGGGCTCGTAATTGCAAGAGCAGCAGTTTGAATCTACCAGGTGCTCCAAGGGAGAAAGATGAGACTTTCTGCTTCTGTAAAGATTTACAGCTTCAGAAATGTTATAAAGGATTGCTATGAGTTGGAACTGACTTGATGGCACACCACCACCATCAGAATTTACAGCTAGTATAAGGGTTGCAACTGACTCGACAACGTTTAACAACAACCACCTCACACCAACTAACAGGAAGTACTTGGCTAAGAGTGATTAGGATTAAAAGGGCACAGAACAGCCTGAACTTGTACCTAAGAATGGAGAGACAAAAGTGGGTAATAGAAAAAGCCCTATTCAGTTCTGAGAAATTCTTGAAATCTCTATTTTGCTTGAAAATTGACTCAGGCAAAGAGAGGGGAAACAATTTATTGAGTGCCTACTGTGTTTATGCCTGGCCCTGTGCAAAGAGTTTTCATCTACTTCATTATCTTATTTAATCCTCACACCAACCCTGTGAGGTAGGCATTATTCTCCTCAGTTGGACAGATGAGGAACAGATGAAGCTCAGGAAGGTTAGGTAGTTTGTCCAAAGTCACCAATGGAGCTGGAGCTGAGTGTGACTATAAGACTCAAAAATTCCCTGCTCTCTACTACTGTGCTGCCCCTCAGGAGAAAGAAAAATCAGAAGCTATAGTCCTTATACTTCTTACCCTGAGAACCAAGAGGGTCACCTAGACAAAGAGCCCATACTTTTTCATAGACCCTGCTCTCTCTACCTTGGGAGGATGCTGTCAGTTTAAGAGGTAAGACATATATATACAAATAAATAAAGAGAACATGTCCTCCAGCAGTCCACAGTGTGGGGAGGTTACTGTACCATTCACAGCTGCTGTGGGAGGAAGCTGCTTGGCACGTGGGCCCAGGAGATAACTGGGACAAGGGTTGCCAAAGGCTGGAGTGGGTGGGCCAAACAGGCCCCTTCTGGGTCTCACAGATCCAAGAACAAAACGTCTGGAGCAGGCAGCAGCCGTGGGCAGTTGCCATCATCCGCCATCTGCTTCTTTTACCGATGTTTGTGATCCAAGAGAGATTCAAAATCTGGGGAGCATACAAGTTTGTGTTTCACGTGTCCCAGGACTGTCATGTCACCCGTTCTACTCTCTCCAAGGCCCACGGACACCAGCTCCTGCATCAACAGACACAGAGATGAGAACGAGGATTGTCTAGCTCCCAGCACTCCCAGTTCTGTGATTTTCCATTTTAATAACCCTAAGAATCCTACTCCCTTTTAGAACTGACTCCTCAAATTCTTGAAGAGCCTCTACCCCTGACCTTTAGGACACTCACCTGAAGGAATGAGCAGGAAGTTCCCATGGTTACATCTAGGGTCACCTTGCCCAAGAGGAGTTGCACCTTTCCCGACTTGCGGATGAGCAGTTTGCCAACCTGGCCCTCTGTCAGGTCACTGAGTGTACAAGTATTCTCTGCCAGCTTGGCTTCCTATCAAGAGAGTAAGGTGAACCTTATTCCATCTCCCAAAGACAGCCTTTTCCCAGAGGTGACTGCCAGTGGTTGAAAAAACACAATCCAAGCAAATAAAAACCCAACAAATGTATAAAACACCAACAGCTGCTAAAATTGGATGATATACAAGGGGGTCTGTGTTGTCTTGTTTGTATATATTCAAAATTTTTCATTATACAAAGTAAATGCACACACAATTGGGGTAAGAGGTGCAAAGCCCTAAACTCAGATACAAAGAACAAATGCCCATAATTCTTTCATTTCAGCTTGGGTGACATACTTTCGCTCCCCTCTGCAAGTAACTATTTTCTTTCCCGGTCCCACACATTTTCAGAACTTATTCCTGATCATACCCGATCTTTCTCCTGCTTTATAACCACCATCTGTCCATCCTCGCTCTGCATTTCTGTCTTGATAGGCTTGATGTCCTGAGTAGGCGGCTGGCCAGGGAGAGTGTCTGGCAGCTGGAGGAACAGTAGTTCTTCCTCCTTGTTGAGGCTCAACTCCTTGAGCAGCTCTGCCACAGACACATCCTTCGGGAGGTCCGGGATCTTTCTGGCTGCTCGCGGGGGAGCCTTTGTCTTGGACTCCTCCTCCTCATCTCGTGGCTCCTCTTTCACTGCTCAGGTAATACAAATGGAAAGGCCATCATGTGTCTACCCTCCACACCATCTGACTTTACCCATCCCTTCGCCTTCACCGACTCCACTGTCACTCATCCAGGAAGCTGGAGACACTGCTCATAAAAAGGGACAAGTAATGGTACGTTGCTAGGCCCTCTGACCCATGTCAGCACTTGAACCTTTTGAGAGTAAGAACTTAGCTTTTTTTTTTAAGGTCATGTATTTTACAACTGGAACACAAGGACCTGCTTATTAGTAGTCTGAGAGACTCTGTATAAGGAATTCTTGTGTGTGTGTGTGTGTGTGTGTGTGTGTGTAGTGGTGGGCAGAGGCAGTCACAGAAAAGGAGAGAAAAACTAACCGACACAGGATACCTTTCACGACAGGCACATCCACCTCCATGTCCTCTTCCTTGGGGCCAGCCAGCCAAGGTTTAACATCTGGTTCTTCATTCTCTTCCTTAAATAGCCACCCAGAGTGGGCCAGAGGCAGCTGTACAGGCATGTTTCGAGTGTCATTCCTCAGCCCAGGGTCATCAATAAACTGCCAAAGAATTGGAAGGGTGACATAGTCGGATCAGCACAGGTACCTGTATTGGAGTCTACCTGAGTCCCTTTCTAACTGAAGATTCCTGCTGCTCACCAGGATTCAAGGCCATCAGATAATTCTTCTATCCCTGACCTTGGCTCCCTAGAAGCCTTTTTCCAGCCTTTTCCCCAGCCCCCTGGTACCTACATCATCCTTCTCCAGCATGCGCAGGATCTGTTTTGTTTCTTCATCCGTCTCCCTCTTCTCTTTTTTGATGTTGATAATATGTGATGGCCCCATGTCCGACATATCCACTGTTTTATCCCAGTTCCCTATAGGAAATCACTCAAGTCACTACGGAACGGAAGAAGTCAACAGCAAGGAAAATGGAACTAAGATCAAGGGAATACCATTGCCTTTTCTCAGGCAGTCTAAACCGAAACCCATTACTGTTCCCTTCCTTTCAGAGCTCCAGCAACCATATGTCTACCTTTTTTCTTCATCATTTCAGCTGGGCCCTGCTCAAAGATGGAGTGGGACTGGATGACTTCTGGTCGACCCCGGCCACGTCCATGTCCTTCTCGCTGTCGGTCTCTATCTCTTTCACGTTTCTCCTTTTTAACAGTTACTTCTTCCTTAGGCCTGAAAAAGTGAATGGATTGAGGGGAACCTCTCACTTATCTAGCCTCAGAGAACTTGTCTTTCTCTCTCACTCCACTCTACTCCACTCCAACTGGGCAGAAAGTTTATGAGGTAATAGTTACATCATGAGAAACAGAAGTCAATACTGACACTAATGCCTTTTCCATTTCCTTGATGGGGGAGGGTCCTTTCAGTTTGTTTTACTTTACCTTTTTGTTTAAGAGTAGATGCTAAAATTGTAACTCAAAAGTCCTGGAGAGACAAGGCACTAGATTGCAAGGTCAGTCTGAATCACAAGGTTGGCAGTTCAAACTCTCTAGCCGCTCCTCAGAAACCCCATATAGGGTTGCTATGAGTGATGGCATTTAACAACAAAAAAAATAGGTAATATTTTGTTTCTGCACTGACTGAAAGCAGGGAGGCTTTAATGCAAAGAAACTTAAGTGAAAATAATACATGTTTGTCTAAACTCGCAGCTCTCAACTTAGGCTGTGTAAGAGAATCATTTCATTCCACTGCAAAAAAAAAAAAAGTTGAATTATAATTTCTATGGATGGAATCCCAGGCATCAATACATTTTTAAACCTTGGACACTTGAATCACCTGGGAGTTAGGGTTAAAAATCACTAGTGGAAATAACTAAACACAAGTTTATATATTGAGCCACATACCTTTGTATGTCCCAAACACACAAAGTAAAGCCCCAAAGTCAGAGTAAGTAAATGAGGGACAGGTATTTGGAGGCCTAGCTACTTACTCTTCTTTGATCTTCCGACTGATGATATTTGGGGTGAAGGTTTTCTGAAAGTAAAATACAGGAGTCACTGATTTGGTTAAGTTCTGACCCTAAAATCCAGAGGAAAATAAAAACTCTCCAAGAGCATCTTCTAAGGGCCAAGCTCATCCTAGCTCTTTTCCACACATATGACACTGTTGTCAGAGATTTAGAGGTAGAGAGAGATCTGAGAACAAGGATAGCCATGCCCTGGTGGCAGTGAGCTATAGGGAGAAGACTGGAACACCAAAAACCATTTTAACTAGCAGCGTCAGCTTCTGCCTTCTGAAAGGGCAGCCTCCCAAACTTGTAAAAGAAAAAGAAAAAGAAAAAAAAAATTTTAATTGCTCTAAACCAGTCAATTTATGATAGGAAAACAGCTCTAGTAACAAGGTCAAGTAGGGGAAACATTTCTGCCAGTAGATGACAGCTACAGATTATCATTTAAATTTCCCAAGTTTGGTACTTAAAAACTTGCTACTTTAATGTCTCTGTCATTTCCTCCCATTCTTCTAGGCTACTGTTTACATCTATTGTTATGATGTGCTGTGGAGTCGGTTCCGACTCATAGCGACCCTGTACAGGGTTTCGGAGGCTGTAAATCTTTCTCCCAAGGAACCACTGGTAGTTTCAAATTGCTGGCCCTGAGATTCCCGGCCCGATTCGTAACCATTACGCTACCAGAGCTCCTTTACATCTATAGGCATAAACAAAATGGGATGGGACAGAGCTTTAGTGGTATGCCTCGATTCATTAGAGGTTAGATCAGAAGTTTGCACAGCCAGACCCATGGAAGATTCTGAACCCCCCTAAAACTAGATGCAAATGTTTATGCCTGATTTCTTATAGATGTCCCAAACACACAAAGTAAAGAAACACTGCTCAAGTTGCTTTTGAACGTCTTGGACAAATTAAGATTCTCTGTCCTTCAATTGCCCTGGGAACCATCTCAGCATCTTTTATACAGCACCTAGACTTCAAAGTTTGATAAAACCCTTAGAATTTAAAGAGGGGTCGACGGAAGTTTGGGGACAAGATTTAAGGGGGCTCCACACCACACCTGGCACACAGTAGCCCCTACAACAGTATTAGTTGCCTCCCAGGGACCTGGATTACTTAGGAAGACTACCTTCTTGACTCCCCCGAGGGTGAGGTCCCTGGAGCGGACAGATGGAAGTCGGCCAGGGGTGAGAGGGGGCACCGGCCGCCTCCCGATAAGCCCCCGGGTTCCAGGGAGGAGGGGTCGGGACCCTCCCGGGATGCTGGGCTCGCCCGCGGCGTTTCCTTCTGACATGTTGTCTGAGAAAGAAGGGGGAAAAGGACCACAAAGTTACTCAACGGGTCAGGCATGCAAATCCTGTCGGTGTAACCTCAACCACGTGGCATCCCGCCTCCCAAATAGAGAGTTCCTCCCCGCGAATCTCAGCTCCTCCCCATCCCACGTGGCAAGACTCCCAGGACCACCCAGCTAGAGGTTTAGGCTCGCGACCCTAGCCCGCTACTCCTCATCTTTCCCCAAGCCCACCGGCCATGCACGAAACAGAAACACACCCCAAAGCACCCGGCACACCTGGGCTACGGCTCTACACCACGCACGTCACGATTTCACCTCCGACACGACTCTCGGCTATCACTCACTCTACTCACTCTCCGCGTTAGGCGGAAGTCTGCGTGGCAGGGCCCGGGCGCCGCCATTTTGCCGCGGGACGGAAGTGAGGTTTGGTGGGCGGGGCCGGGCCACAGTATTTATCAAGCAGCGCCTTTCTCTCCTCCGCCTTCTCTTCCCGGTTCTTCCCGGAGTCGGGAAAAGCTGGGTTGAGAGGGCGAAAAAAGGATGAGGGGACGGATCTAGGTTACGGTGTGGTGCTGCGCCCGAAAGTCTGGCCCCGGACGGGATGTGGAGGCACCGTGTTTAGGGTCTGGGGGCATTGGCAGCCTCCACTACACTACGTGGGGATTCGCTTCGGTGGAGCCTCCGGTACCAATGGGGTCGCAGCTCGGATGGGGCGCAGGGCATTGAGCGAGACCCAGGCTCAGATTCGGAGAGCCCTGGGCCACTACCGGTGCGGCTGTGGAGTCCGGATAGTAACTTTGGAGTGGTCACTGTACCTCCCGCCAGTGGCCTCACTAGCTTGGAGGCCCCTTTCCAGATTTCCTGAGGGGGTCCTGGTGTCGGGGCAGCGTTGGAGCGGATGAGCCTGGTGTTTATTCGCATCGACTTTGAACTCACGACTATGCGGGTCCTTGTGAGCTGTTGGTTAAAGCCAGGAGGAAACCTGAAAAATGAAGTTCTCTGGAGAGGCAAACTTAAATAACTTTTGATGTTTGTAATGTAAAGTTTAAAAAAAAAAAAATGTCCTTTACGCACTACACACCATGTAAAACCATGCAACAATATAAGGGAAGTTGGGGAAAGGAAAATATTTCTGCTAAAATTCCACCATAGCATAGACTGACTGCTGTCAATTCGATTCTGACTCATAGCGACCCCAAAACATAGAGTGGTGGTGTGTTGTTAAAAGTGCTGTGGAGTCCTTTAGGGTTTCCAAGGATTGGTGTGAACTTGAACCTCCGACCTTGTGTTTCAAACTGACCTTACAGTCCAGCGCATTAACCCGCATTGCCACACCAGGACTTCCCAGCATATAGTACTACTATTAAAATTTTGGTAATATATTCCAGTGCCCTTACCAGCGCCTTAATGTTGTTGCACAATTTTGTTGCTTTATCCATTGGGAGATGTTATGAATTTGTGTCTTTGTAAAGTATATTAGAATCCTAATCCCTACCAAACCAGCCTAGGCTTTTCTATGGCAGGTATGGCACATGGCCTGGGAGCCACTTGAGGGAGTGGGGACGGATGGTGCCAATAGATGGCAGTGTCTATTGGTCATGTAGCTTCCATCCCCAGCTGTGAGATCATTCAGTAATTTAAAACTTATTATCATAGGTGTTGTTTTACCTGTGGATGTAATATTTTGTCTGGCAATAAACTTCTTTATGTTAATGAAACTATATCAGTATAGGATGTGTGTAAACTCAGTCACGTCTAAGTTATAAAAAAAGGCAGAATAGACACAAAGGAGCAAATCAGAGGAAGATTGGATGCTACATGAAGGTCACTGAGGAGCAACAGGACTACAGAAGATGAGGCTTTAATCTCCACCAAAGTCTCACCAGAAAGAGGACCCTGACTTTTGACTGTAGGATAAACACTGGCCTGCTATCCACAAACTCAGCCATTCAAACCCACTAGCTGCTCCTCAGAAATCCTATACAGGGTTGCTATGAGTCAGAACCAACTTGACAGCAGTTAATAACAACAAGCTTCCTACAATGTGACAAAATCAAATTTCTGTTATTTAAACCCATCCTCTTGTGGCATTTCTGTTACAACAGCACTAGGAAACTAAGACTGGAAGATACAGCATGATTTACCTATTTCTGGTTTTTGGCTACTTCCCTGTTGTAAATAACTCTGCAGTGAACATCTGGTTCATTTCATGCTTTTTCTTCTTTTGGACTATTCCCTAGGACAGATGTTCAGATCTAGGATAATTGGCTTTAAGAACATATGTATTTCTTAAGAAATAAACTATTTTGAGATAACTGCAGGTACACTCCCAGTTGTGAAAAATAATTCAGACCTAAGTACTGTTTCTTTGGATTCCCCCAATAGTAGTATCTTACAAAACTATGATACAGTCTCAAAACCATAATGGTGACATTAATATAGTCAAGACATAAAATAGTTCTATTAACACAAGGGTCTCTCAGTTGCCATTTTATTAACTTCACTTACCTCCCTCCCTTCATCTTCCCCTGACAAATACTAATTTGTTCTCCATTTCTATAATTATTTTAAGAATGCTTTATAAATGTACTCATAACAGTGTATGACTCTGTGGGATAGCTTTTTTCACTCAGCCTAATTCCCTGTGGAGTCCTGGTGTGGCGCTGTGGGTTAATGCGCCAGACTGCAAAGCCGTTTGAACTGCAAGGTCGGCGGTTCAAGCTCACTAGCTGCTCCTTGGAAATCTTATACAGGGTTGCTATGGGTCAGAATCGACTCAATAGCACTTAACAAGAACAACAATTCCCTGTAGTTTCCAAATTGTTGCATGTATCAATGGTGGTGGTGTTGTGCTGTGGAGTTGGTTCCAATTTATAGAGACCCTGCATAGGGCTTCTGAGGCTATAAATCTCATCTTCTGAGGCTGTAAATCACATCTTCTGAGGCTGTAAATCTCATCTTCTGAGGCAGAAAGCCTCATCTTCCTCCTGTGGAACAGCTGGTAGTTTTGAACTGCTGACCTGAGGTTAGCAGCCTGACTCGTAACTACTATGCTACCTGCCAGAGCTCCACCAAAAAGGTGCATGTATCAAGAGCACCCAATAGCACCTTTTTTTTTTTTTTTTTCTGAGTATCTATAGTGTCCTGGTGTGGCGCTGTAGGATAAGTACTGGACTGCTGATTGCAAGGTCAGAGGTTCACACCCACCAACTGCTCCTCGGAAACCACATACAAGGTCAGAACGGAATCAATGGCAATTAACAACAACAACATCCATAGTATCTATATACTATGATTTGTTTAACCATTCACTCTTTAAGGAAAATCTAGATTGTTTCCAGTTTTATACTATTATGAATGAAGTTACTATGAACATTAGTGCCCAGATTTTGTGTAAGCATAGGTTTTCATTTATCTGTGATAAATGCCCCAAAGTGCAATTGCTGGATTTTATGGCTATGGAGTCCTGTTGTGGTACTACAGGATAAGCACTGGCCTCCTAAGCGTGAGGTGGGTTCTATGAGATGGAACCGACTTGACAGCACTTGGCAATAACAACAATGGTACTCATGAAGGTGCTCTGGTTGTGTAGTGGGTTAATCATTGGACTGCTAACATCAAGGTCAGCAGTTGATAGTTGATCCAAGAAGAATGAAGTCCTTGACAACTTCAATCTTTTCTCCGTTGATAAGAATGTTGTTTATTGATGTCCAGTGGTGATGATTTTTGTTTTCTTTACATTGAGATATAATCCATACCAAAGGCTGTGCTCTTTGATCTTTCTTCATCAGTAAATGTTTAAAGTCCTCTTCACTTTCAGCAAGCAAGGTTGTATCACCTGCATATTGCAGGTTGTTAATGAGTCTTCCTCCAATCCTGATGCCACATTTTTCTTCAT